GAAAATAAAAAAAAACACACCCTATTGGGTCACAAGGACAAAAGCTCAAGAGCACAAGTTCAATTACCCTAGCGGTGCCTAAAGAAACTAGCTTCAGATAAAATGTTAACAATAACATAGCTTACAACAAGGCTAAAATAGGCCTTATAGCTCTCGAACACTCCCACTCTCCGTCTTCTTATATGAGTTCTCATCTTTGTAGCATAATTAAACACTTTAACCTGTTAAGACATATACCAACCAGCACAAACAAAAGAGAAGCTATAGGGCAATTAGCCTCATACACCTTATCGGTTCATAGAACCAATCGGAGTTTGTTAGACTCGCACCATCCCAGTCTCTAGCGCACCAAACAGTGAATTTTGCACTCGCTTTACTAAATCCTACTTCCGCATCAAATTTATCATTTTTAAAATTACATTTATTCCTTTGAGACCAAATTTCATATACCACTACTACCCATAGTCTTTTCCACAACATATTTCCCTTCGCTCCTAATCCACCTAATGCAAAGCTTTCCAGGCTTGCTTTCGCCTCACAGTGTCTAACAAAGCTGATTCCCACTCATCTAAAGCACTTTTCCCAAATCTCACTGGTCATCTTACACGTAAAAAAGAGATGATTAAATGTTTCGTCATCACTTCCACACAAAGTACATTTTGTGTTACTTATATCAACCCTTCTCCTAGCTAAATTCACCTTAGTAGGGATCCTATCCTGAAGAATTCTCCACCCTATAACCATGACTTTTGGTATCGCTTTCATTTTCCAGTACCATTTGAAGATCGATTCGTTCTCATCGCAAGTTACTTCGGTTAGAATCTCGTACGCTTCTTTTACAGTATACCTTTCATTTTTATTCGGTCCCCACAACCATGTATCTTCTGTATCCCTATTGAGTGTTAAGCCTTGAATCTTACTTAGCATTTCTTTCTCCCATTCGAAACGTTGTCTTCTCCAGTTTACTCTCCATTCCCATCTATTTTCCATCCACACACCATGTTCTGATAGCACCCCATTTTTGTTCAGTCCTATTTGTCTTAACCTTGGATACAAATTGCCTAAACTTTGTTCCCCAATCCACACATCGTCCCAAAACCTGATTTTCTCTCCATTTCCTATCTTCCAAGTTACATGTTTATCAAACCAAACTCTACCAACATTATCTTTACATATTCTTTTTATATCTAGCCACCATTTTAAATCCTTATTAATGTTTTTCGGTTCGTCTAAAGCTCCTCAGGACTCGTATTTGCCTTCTATTTCTTTCCACAATCCTTTTGACTCGACAGCTAACCTCCATTTCCATTTTGCTAGCAGGGATCCGTTCATCTTCTGAATGTTCTTCACTCCTAACCCACCATTTTCCTTTTTTCTACATATTTTTTGTCATTTTACCCACGCTATCTTTTTCCCTTGCTATCTTTTTCCCTTCTTTGCCCCAACCCCACACAAACTCCCTTTGAAGTTTTGTTATCTCTTTTATCATTCTAACAGACATTTTGAACATCAATACATAAAACAATGATATCGCCGATAGAATCGATTTCACCAAACATACCCTCCGAACAAAGGAAAGCATGCGCCCATCAAATATGTAGGATAAGTGTGTACACTACTAAAAATTCTCATTTTTCATGGGAATATTTTTGCAAAATTCTGGTAAAAATTGCAAGAAATAAGTTTTCTATAAATTTAAACAATTTTTTGCAAGAAAATTGGTAGAAAAAAACTAGTTTTCTAGTAGTGGTAAATTTTGAAAGAGCACTCCAAACATTTATATCAACCCAATATATAGTTGACATAAAATTTCATTAATTATTTATTCTAATGTAAATTTATATTTCTCTCTTTTGATGTCAAAATTTGATTAGATGTAAAAAATTCAAAATAACTTATCTAAAAAGTCTATTATTTGCTTGCAATAACATACATTATCAACGACATAATACCGAAAAGAACCCTTATTTTGTCTTTGTTAGTGTTTTCCAACATCAAATGTTCATAGCAAATATCACCAAAATAAAAGATTATCGATGTTTTGAAAAATAATCATTCACGTTAACTTGTGGTCACTTATAACTAATGAACAAGGGTAGGTCATTTTTACCTCTCCCCAACCAAATTATTATCGTCAATACCACAAGTATCTAAAAAAAATATTTATTGAATTATTACGTGAGCCTAAACAATCCCTAAAAACCTCAATAACTTCCACATTTGTTAAGAATATCTTTCACTCGCAAACTCCTGATAGACAATATTTGAAAACATTTTACCCAAACATATGATACAATATTCACAACTATAACAATTTTTTCCTATTTGTCAAACACACCAAACAACAAGCAAAATCAAGAACTTATCCAATAAAAAAATAAACATGTAGACGATCTCACCAAACTCCCCGTATGATATTTATAGAACCTTCAAACCATCAATAATTTAAATTGTTAGATTGTTTCAGTTTAATGAAATTAATCTGAAATCTTTTATCTTTCCAAAGCATTATAATTGTTATCGTCAAAACACAAATTTAATAGATAATATACTGAGAAAAAGGATGTAAGTAAAAGAAAATAATTTTTTCTATTCTAATAAAAGATTTCTCATCGATAAGTCTCATCAAACTTGAAAAGCTAATATATTGAATGAACTAAGAAGATATAAATTAAAAAATTCCTTTATAAGATTTTTTTAATTCAAACTCTCAAAACGTGTAACAGGCAGAAAATCTAAAATAATGGGACATATCTAATTTTTAAAAACAAGTAGATTTTAACATAAAAATGATCTCACCCAATTAAAGGATAATAGAGTATTTAGCTTAATACAATATTAATGATATATTAGACATTTAATGATTACTCAAATAGATAAAAATTTCATTAAAATAATATAAATCAGTGAAGATTTCATTATATGTCTTACACATTTATTATATGCGGGTATAGTAAAGAATTCATCTACGACAACAACTAAATAAAAGACATGTAAGATTTTTGATAATAGGAAAACATTAAAAAAAATACTAATAACCTGAACATAAGTAAACGTGAGTAAGAAAAAGAGAAATAGTGAAAAGCAAAAGTTGTTTAATTTGGTTGAAGCAGCTAAAAAGTAAAAGCATGAATTGAAAAAAGAAAAACCGATGCCACGTTGTATTTCTTTGTCTTCAAAACATGTTAAGAATTCTTCAAGTTTAAGATTTGGAAAGACCTTAACATATGAACGTTGAGGAAGTGAAACATGAAAAGACAAGTAGAGGGACAATGTTCCTGAGAAAAGTCTTGGGCTTTCATGCACCACTTTACAAGATGATAGAGAGAATGTGCATTTTTCCATTATTCTTGATGGCACTTGGTTCATTCTCATGTCAAGTGGGACCTAACACGTATTCAATCATTCGAGTATAAACCAAATTAATTTATAGAATCTTTAATCAATTCAACCAAACAAACACAATTATTCAAACTAATCTGTCACATCATTTTGAATTAGCAAAATGTAGATGCTTTTTCGGAATTAAGAGTGGCCACTTTTAAGAGCGTGGTATGACTTCAGAAAAGTTGGGTTTGAAGATGGTACTAATTTTCCATTAGGAGAGGAAAGGTATTTTGCTATGTTGATAAAAATGACATTTATGTTTTTTCTTAAAGTTGACTATAATAAATTAAAATTTTAAATATCAAAATATTTTTATTCTTAAATAAAATATCAACATTTGAGACCAAGAAAAAACATTTTCTCACCTGAAAAATA